AATAATTTAATACGTCGATTTGGTGAATGATATTGACGAAAAAGATCAAGCCGCCAAGAGAAAACAGACCGCCGGAAAAATAAATATAAATCTGGCGATGTGACCGGATAAACTGGTAAGCATTGGTTAGTTTTAGTTTCTTGGCATTGCTATTGATCTCAATTTTATGGGTCTATGGAGGAAGGAAGTTTTTTTAATTTTTGGTACAGTATCAATTTCAGAACATGGAAGTTATGGGTCTGCGAAGGAAGAAAGGGGATTGCTCTTTGATGGTAATTAATTTTGGAGCATTTTTTTTCTTAATTAGTTTTAATTTTTTAGCCTCCCATACTGCATTAAATTTCATTGTTATGGTAGTTTGTGCTGTGAATTTGCTATCCAGCAACCAAAATCTCAATGTTCATATGTCAAATTTTGTCACTGCTTTTTTTTCTTCTTTATTAAACATTGGTTTTTAGATGCTATGTGCTACAGCGATGAGGAATTTGAAAGGCAAACTGAATCAGTATTCTACCGATCATTGCAAGGTATATATGAATTCCTCAATTTTACCTTACATGTTCAACATCAATTTACGGGTTGTGTTGATATAGAACTATAAATGATTAATACATGATCATTACAGCTTTACAAAGATGAAGTTCAATTTTTCATTGTGATGGGGATGAGGCTGTATCGTCTTCTTCTGATGTGAAAACTTTCCTATCACCTTCTTCTGATATAAATTACCAGTTGTCTCTTTATTTGAACTTTCCTATTGGATTTTCATTCATTCGAACAAGGTATGTCCCCATTTATATCCCAAAAACTTTGCATTGACTATTGGTTTCTGTAGATGAAAGATGATCCACCTGAAAAGCTGGTAAGCTCCTCGGAAAACAAATACGAAGAATATCTCTTTCCCAGGAAAGAGTTGGGACTAGATCCCTCCAAAATCATCTGATTGAGTTATGGTTCTTGGATTTGTTGAACTTATTTATTAGATAGACAACTTATTAAGTGGCCCAAAACCTGATTCACCTATTGCTAGCAAACGCCACCTTTTACAAGGTATACGCAAATTACTTAAGTTATAGGTGTATATTATGCACTACCACTCTCTTAAAACAGAAATCTTCCTGATTTTTTTTGCAGTGTATCGGGTCCCCTTGATTACATGAGCGTAGAGAAAAAGACTACTAAGGTATTATCATTTCTGAACTATTTATGTTTGAAAAGACATTCTTCATTTAACACCCTCTCCCCCTCCAAAAAAATAAATAAAAATAGATATTCTTCATGACAAATATAAGTCAACAACCTATCATTTGATGAAATTGATAAAACCTTGTGAGAATCTACCTGCAATAAGCCAAGCTATCATTCCAGTCAGTCACAATGACCAGTATGGAATGATAAATTGGTTTACTTTTTGTCTGTATTCATACTAATTCAACATGTTCTTCTTGATCCCATCCTGGAAACCAATGTCGCTTATAGGCGTGCCAGCAATCCACCAATTTTTAAATAGATTGTCCAAGAGATTAGCTCGATGAAGGTTGGCAAGAATCTAATTCAAGAGGGATGTAAGGCAGTGCAGTGTCCAAAGGCCTTTCTTTTTCAAAGATATGTACCCAAATTTGTCAATCATTCAATTGAGAGTGTTGATGGAACTTCAATGAACTCTACGCTTCGTGAAAAATATCATGGAGAAGATGTTCAGAGAAAAATTGAGGTGATTGATATAGGACAGGATACTTAAGTAAAGGTGTTATTAAGCTTTTTCAAAGGGACTGTGATCTTTTTCAATGGGGCGGTGATCTTTTGAGAGACCATGCAGCCTCGAAGAAGCAATGCGGGGAGGAGATTTTTGTTGAGAACCCCTTGAGATCAAGCCCTGGGAGAAGCAACTTTCGACAAAGTAACTATAGAAGAGATCACTCGTGGAGAAGGGGTTTTAACTGGTGGTTCTTTTATACGAAAAATTTATTATTTTTTCAACTCTCACTCGGCATAAGGATACGATTTGACTTCATATTTAGACATAATAGAAAGTGGTTCTTCATCAAACTTTTCCATTTCACATATTAGTGAACATGTGAACTTACTATGACATTAAGTTTACTTTTTTGTACTTATTATATCATTTTATGTCAAACTTAGATCATTTTCTTGCTGGCTTTGTAAACTGGGGTATCAGTTTTGGTAAAAGGAAAATTACATTCCGTGGACATTGGTGCTGGAAGCTTGGCATGGACAGGGAGTTGGTTTTGAGCCAGCTAGAAGTTTTGGCAATTCTTGAAAGTTAGAAAAATAAAATAAAACAAATGGTCGAATAGAATTGGAACACAGAGCCAAAATTGACATTTCCAAAAGACATTCGAGCCAGCCGAAATGCATAAAATAACTATATTTGTGTCCTAAATACAACACCTCTTAAACACCAACAACAAAAATCTTCTCTTCCTAGAAACAAACATAATGTACTAACATTGATGCATCAATCATCTAAGTTAAATATATTGAAGTTATTATAGATTTTTTTGTATGAGTTATTTTTTTTCCCATTGAACTGACTTAAACAATAAGCGGGTCAAGAGAAAAAGTTTACTGAGGTGTCACATTGTGATGAAAATTTTTTTTCTCCAGAATATATATTAAGTCAAAATTATGTCGTTGATTGAAAACAAAAAAAACTTTAAATATATCTATAAAAACATGTTTCTATTACAAATGCATACAAAATTAACTCACTCTATTATCATAGAGATAAATTTTAATTACGTATCGAATTCAACATTTTCTTGCAATAAATAATGTCGTTTATGAATAAAAAAGATTATTTAAATTTCACTGGTAAAGTTATGAAAAATTATGAAATAAAACGTTCATCTCACATTTAAACTTCATGGGTAAAATTACGAGAAAAATTCAAGTGATACATTTTTCTTATATTCAAAGTCAAGGAAATTTTAAGTTGTAATGATATTAATACAACTTAAGTTTTACCGCTATTTTAACTTATTTTGAATTGTTGGCTAATTCTTTTTATCACTCTTTTTTTTTTTTTTTTATATTTCACGATCAACCATTAATCAAGTACATAGTATTTTTTTTTCACAACTAATAACCATTTTGATAATGCATTTTAGCATATTTCGTGCAATCCACAAGAGAGAATCTAGTATCCTTTACATTACTCATTAAATATAATAAAATTATAGACAAGACTAGATGGAAAAGAGGTCACATTATTTATTGATGAGAAACTTTGGATGTTAGAACTTGCTCCATTCCAAAATAAGTGTCGTTTTAGCAAAATGAACATCGATTTCAATGTAATTTTTGTCCAAAACTTCCAAACATACTATTAAAATATTTATTTTAATGGGGTAGGTTGAAAATATTCTAACAATTTACCTGCCATTTCTAGGTATTTCTTAAACTAATGTGCAAGTTATCTAATGGCACTTATTTTTGGGGCAGAGGGAGTAACTAATTTGCATTGAAATCTGAAAACATTTTACATTTGAGTCAATAGACAGGGAGTGCACAGCAGCAGCATGCTCGAGTTTCCATTATTTTTGTTTTACTACTACAATTATATTAATCTAATCTGGGCCGCGTTGCTGTCAATCATTGTGGATTGTAATTGCTCAACATGGCCTCCTCCGCCATCGCTTCCATTTTGTCTGCTTTGCGTGATCCGGAGCTGCGGTGGAACTCTGATCCTCTGTTCGTTCTGAACTGAAGCTACAGAAGGTTAAGCTAAGGAATATCAGGGCCTTTCTTGTTTGTGCTAGAAAGTTGGGCAAGGATCCTCAAGCTGAATCTCTCTTGCTAAGGATTCGAAACGCTGTTTATCGATGTACTTCATCAGCTGCTAATCCTACTGAAATGGTTTCACATCATTGCGGATAAAGATAAGCCGCCTGGAAGAAGAGGTCCACTACATCACTATCTCATATCACGCGCAGGCATCGATTTCTCTAACCGTGGATGAAATCCTGGAGGTGACTGATTCCGCTATTGGAAAACTGGAAGATTTTCCGATGATATTCAGAGATCGGAGTCATGATCTCGTGACACTAGTGAACTCCATGGAAGCCTTGGGGGAGCAGATGACATTCCTGATAAATTTTACTCCCTCTGTCCCAAAATTATTGTCCAATTTGAGATTTCATTTTTAGTACAATTTGAACTAAAAATGAAAACACAAATTGGACAATAATTATGGGACGGAGGGAGTATAAACTTTGGTGCAGAGTTTAGGTTGGAAAGCAAGGATCAGCTTTAGAATTTATTGACCCATTTTGAAGCTGTTGCGATTAAAACGACGTGTCTCTTCATAAAATGCCCTGTTGATGATTTTGATGAAATATGGTGCCAAGAAACGCATTCCAAGTGTTTAGAACTCCTTCAAATGATCAAGCCTGTTGATCCTCAAATGTGTCTGACTTATACTGATGCTCTTAGCTTCTTAAAGTCGTCAGGACAATTGCATTCTTCGCCTCAAGTCTGTCAGAATTCCTGGATTCTCTCAATAGCAGATCTTTGGGATCTGTTGCGATTGGATTCTGGTTATCTTGATTCCACTAAGAAGCAGCCACAAGTTCTCTATGAAGGTCTAAGACAATGGAGAGCCATTCTGAAGCAGCAGCCTGATAAATTCGCTACTATTAGAGATCAAATTGGAGCTCTGGCTTGTGCTGCCGGGGGTCACAGTTTGCTCGCTTCACCAGATATATGTAAAGCTCTATTCTAAGCTTCAATTTATTCTTGAAAGAATCAAGCTTTTTCAGTCACAAGTTGTTGAGAAAGTTCCACAGTTTTAATTTTCCAATGACTGAAGACGATTTAGCAGAAAAGGTCCGCCTTTCTCTGAAACAGAAGAGATATCTTCTTTTTGGATGATGCATGGACCTTTGAGTTTGGAATAGCCTGAACATGTCATTCCCTGACGATTCCACTGAAGCGGAATTCCCGTCACAAGCCGGCATCTTAATGTTGTTCCTCCTAATATGGTTGCTAATCGTGAACCTCATTCACTTTCTCCACTCATTAAAAATGAGAGTTTGGGAATACTGCAAAAGAAGCTATTTCCCGAAAAAGAATGGCCTCCTGCATTACTGGAACCTCGGATGCAAATTGCAGAATTTTGTAACGGATTACCACTTATGATTGTCACTGTAGCTGGTCTTTTAGCAGCCAAGGAACGAGGAACCTGGAAGGAAATTATGAATGGTTTAGGTTCAGGCACTGTATCTAGTACGGAACAATTCATGGCAACCATGGAGTTCGGTTACAAACATCTACCCGATCACTTGAAAGCTGAAACCCTGCTTTCTATAGTTTGTGGCATTTATGAAAGATCAATAGGTTTCTGTGAGAAAGTTAATTCAACTATGGATCGCTGAAGGTTCCATTGGAAAAACAAATCAGAAGAGAGTACAAGATGGCTTTCCTTAAACTTTGGTGGTGGTATTTTGCCAGTTGAAAACCTTGAGGACTCATCTATTATGCATGAGTTGGATAGCTTTTCCACGGCAGTTATCTACAGTAGTTCCATCATGGAGAAACAATTGCTGAAGTTTCCCAACATTCCCAGGCTGAAATGCGACCTTTCTAGATTGTATATCAACAACCAGAACTTTGATCAGATACTAATTCCTAAGGATTAGTGGAATTCAGAGTCGCTTCACTTGCTGCGGTCTGATTTAACCTTGATGAAGCAGGTTGAGTTTGGTTTCTGTTTGCCTGGAAGTCTCAGAAGACTGACCCTGTCAAGGTTTGGGTTGCCCTGGAGGAAAATTTCAACCATTGGTAAACTTCCCAATCTTGAAGTTCTCAAATTACAAGATTCCTGCCTTTCAGGAGATACATTGGACCTGAAAGATGTGGAATTCCCAGAACTGCGATTCTTGAAATTGTCCAGGTTGGACATTAAATGCTGGACAGCTCCTGATGATCAACATGCAAGCTTGCAGAAGTTGGTGTTGGATAATTTCAGCAATCTGGAAGAGATTCCTTCTTGTTTGGAGTACGGGCCGAACTTCAGATGATTGATGTGTCTCATTGCTTAGACAATTTAGAAAGTTTAATCAGTCACATTGAGAAGACCTGTCAATCAGTCCATGAAAGTATACATTGGATGAGAACGAGGTAGCCTTTGAGCCATCGCGGTTGAGATTAACTTCCAACCAAATGTTTCTTTTGTTGTTATTTTTTTCCAATTGCATGTCATCGGAGAAACTGCATAAGTATTTGATAATGGTTAATTTGTTACACAAAAAGCATTACAATCTACTCTGAAATTAATGGAGAATTAGGGGTGTTTCATAGAATTAGTTCATTTTGCTTAACTAGTTTTGTGTTTTTGCATAGGTAAGGACCTAAGTGCATAACTGTTAGAAAAGATGGGCTTTAGGAACAAAAATTAGGCTGCTGAAATCAAATTTTGCTGAGCTGGTCAAAGATATCTCCAAGACACAATTTAATGAGTGTGTCCCGTCCAAGGGCATGCTTGTCCCCTTGGTTAGACTCCCAACCGCCCATGATGATCAATGTTGCAGCTGATACCAGTGCTGGAGAAGGGCAAGAGACCACTCAATTCTCGGATTCAAGACACAAAGCATTGGGAGGAATAAATAATTCACAAGCATGGGGAGGCTATCTTGGAAGAAGAACCGGCTTCAAAACTCTATAAAAGGAAGAAGAGAGCATGAAGGGGGATCTGAGTGGACATAAAACACACAAAACACCACAGAGAGAGAAGAAGAGAGCGGAGAGGGGAGAAAACTCCAAAGGAAGAAGAAGTTCAGTAGCAGAAAAAGAGGAGTAACAGACCTCACTCGCCTGAGTGGCCTTTGTCACTCAGGCGAGTGACCTGTTGCTCAGCCATCCAGATTTGCTTCTTCTTAAAGCTTTCCTTCTTTTCTTGTATTTTCTGTAGTTTGTATGTGTAGTTAATTAGATTTCATTCTCTGGAACGTATGTAGTTTAAGTTTGTGAATGCATTCGGATGATTTTGTGTTTTGAAGTTAAAGTTTTCATCTACCTCTTGATTAAATTAGCCATTTGATTGATTGTGCACAGAACTAAGTGAATCCCGGAAGGGTAAACAAGGTTCAGAATCATTTAACTTTAACTTATGACTTGGAGGTAACAGTCCAAGGTTCTAATTGAGATAGGAATATACTTGGTTAGCATAAGTATTCATATAAGGCTTGAAAACTTAATGACTTTATGACTTGATTAATCATTGGAAAATAGTTTAATTGAGTTCATAAATATACCTCTATGAAAAATCGGAAGTGACTTAGAGATATATAAGTGCCTGAATGAGCATAAATTCATACCAAAAGAGTGTAAGATTACAACTTGATCACATAGGGAAAAGAGAATGAATATCCAGTTTGTTGAGTCAGTCCCTTGAGTCGGAATTCTCATTCCCGTGAGTGAGGTTTCATTTGTCTTTCTTTGTCTTCAGTTCTGCAGAGTCACTTGCCTGAGTAACTTTACCCACTCGTACAAGTGAGTGACATTCTGCAACTTTCTTTCTTGTTTGTCCAATTTCGTGTTCTGGTTATTTGAAGTTTAACCCGTCCCTGTGGGATCGACCTAACTTATCCTATCTACAGTTTAAGTTGGTAAATTATTTTGGGGCTTCGACAACCCACCAGTATTTCAAATGGTTATGTTGAAGCTAATTAAATGTCAAATTGATACTCAATTATCCTGCAATTCTCAGGATCAAGTGAAAGGGCTTGAACTTCATAGATTCAATCCTATGTACTTCCTCACGAATCACGAGGTCTTGAACTTCATAGATTCAGTCCTGTCAAAATGAAAAATAATAGAACAAAAGGAGTGTAATTCCCTCTAACTCGAAATATGTAAACGTAATACTGATAAAGGATTTTAATAACATATGGATGGCTGGATCACTCTGTAATCTTTCATGTGACTACTTTGGGGAATCCAATGGATGATGATATCTGAAATGTAATCAGGATCCAATGCACATTTTACTTCATTCTTTGAAGGAATCAATCTGGGGTTTTCAAGAATCAAAGTGTAATAAAAAGGTCTAACTCTTTTTCCAATGTCACAAAAACTTCAACCTTCATCATGTGATCCTGGTGACAAATTCCAATGGGGATCATATTTTTTTTTCTTTTCTTTAATTCTTTATTTATATTATTCTGAAAAGTCAGAGATCTGAAATCAGCAGGTGTATATGAGTGGAGGAACACAACTACCCTTTGAAAGATTCCTTTGGCCTATACAACAAACTCAAATCACATGAAGTAGAAGTGGTTGTCACAATATGGCTCTGCTCATCTCATCTGACATTATTTTTCCCCTTTTTAATTGATCTGATTAGCATGCCAAGGATGACTTCTCCAGTATGAATTGGCAATGTCTTAATCAATGGTTGAGTAATGCATCAATTCTCTGTTTCTAATCCAATTGATGAGTGAACATTGAAGAGGAAAAAGATGTATAATAAAAGAAAATGGGTGGAGGAAAGACAAATTTGAGATCATTGTGGTTGATCAATAGAAGCATGAATTGACATTTAGAAAAAGAAAGAAAAAAAAGGATCCACATGTAACTTGTGAAATCTACTGGGATAGGGAATAGTTCCATAAAATGACTATTTTTCTGGGACAGAAAGAGTGAAAGGAGGAGGAATGGCAGTTGACTTTTATGACGGTAAAGTTCTGGTTGTTCCTCAACCGTTTCTTACTCATACAATAATCCTATCAGATCATTCAAAGCCCGCCGTTTCTTTTTGCAATCCACAAAATTTTTCCTAACCTTCCACTTCCAGCCAGAAATGGTTTCATTTTCGGCTCAGATCGTTGATTCAAACATGGTGGTCTCATCTGTTGTGACTTCCACTGATTCTGCTTTGCGGGATATTGAGATGCGGGTGCACCGTAATCCTCCCCTGCGGAATGAGTTGATGAAACACAAGATTAGGCTAAGGAATCTAAAGGCATTTGTTCTTGTTGTTGTTTGTGCAACACAGTTGGGCAAGGAAGAAGATACCCATCTGGAATCTCTCTTGCTACGGATTGAAGATGCTGTCAAAAGATATGCCAAGGAAATTCATCGTCCCTGTGATGCTTCATCTGCTGTTGTTTTGTTGCCACGAATTCGTATCATTTTCAGTAAGATCCTCTGTTTAGAGGAAGAAATTCATGAATGGTATGTCACCCTATCGAAAAACAGGCTGAAATCAAGTTCTCTAACCCCAGATGAAATGGTCAAGATCACTGATTCGATTCTTGGGAATCTGATTGATTTTCCTACCATTCCCAGATGTCAAATTATTTTCCCTGCAATGGAAGCCTTGGTCGCGCAAATGACGTTTCTGAAAAATTTCATCCTCTTTTCTGTGGAGAACTATGTGGAATGCAGCAGGAATATGAATGATCTGTTTGCTCACTTTGGATCTATTGCAACCGAGGCTGCAGGTCTCTTTTTCGGATGTCCAGACGACGACTTTGACGATGAATGGTGTCAAGATTTTCAGTTCAAGTGTTCATTGCTCCTTAATAAAGTCAAGCCTGTCGATCCCCAAGTCTCGAAGATTTACGCTATAGCTCTTAGTAGCTTAAAATCGTGCGGACACGTATGTTCCGACACTCAAGCCTGCCTAAATTTCCTTGATTCTCTCATATCCGAACTTTGGGATCTGCTCCGGCAAGGTGCTGGGTATTTGGACTCTGTGAAAGATGAGCGTCAAATTCTGTACGAAGGACTAAGATTCTTGAGAACCAATCTGAAGCAGCAAATAAGAGAGTTCTATAAGGTCGAGGATCCGATTGTGGCTCTGATATGCGATGCCGGAGTCTTAATTTGCTCATTTCACCACACACATGAAGAAATCCAACAGGAGCTTCGGAATTTCCTGGAAAGTATTCGGGTTACTCAATCAGGAACTGAGGAGAAACATCCCCAGCCTGCAATGTTCAACTTCCCTTGTAGTACCAATGAGCTAGATTTTGTTGATTCATTGTCGGAAACTTTGATGCAGCTGACGAAAGGCACTTGTGACCCATCAGCCAAAACTCGTGCTCAAACCATCGGAGTAGAACTCTCTTACTTGAGGGCTTTCTTAGAGCAAACAAAAGAATCGCGACATGAAAACCAGGAACTCCAAGCTCTATGGAGTCGTGTTCTGGAGGTGGCTTACAGAGTAGAATTCCTCATTGATCAGTTAAAAGCTGGCGATACATCGTATTGCTTCTCTGTGTTATCTGATTGCATTGTAGAGGAAATTGCGGATATCAAAACTGCTCTGTCGAATAGTTCTTATGGAAATAAAAAAGACACCAAAGTAGAGAAAGTGAACAGGTCACAAGTTCCCTCAGTACCCCACCAGGATGTTGTGGTAGGTTTTCATGATGATGCAAGAGAAATTGTGAATCGCCTCAATAGTGCAACTAAAAACTTGCAGGTGGTCAGTATCTGTGGGATGGCAGGTGCTGGTAAAACATGTTTAGCTTCTAAAGTATACAATGATGTTGCCGTCATATATCGTTTTCATTATCGTGCATGGTGTTCTGTTCCTCCTCAAGTGTACAAAAGGGGATTGTTGATTGACATTTTAAATCAACTGAAAGCTAGATTTGATGTGGATTTGTGTGAAGACTATTTAGCAGAAAAGCTCCGCCGGCATTTGAAGATGAGGAAATATCTCATCGTTTTGGATGGTGTGTGGAACATTGGTACGTGGTATTGTTTGGCAAATTCATTCCCTGATGACTATATTGGAAGTAGGATTCTTGTCACTAGTCAGCAACGTCATGTTGTTCCTCCTGAAATGCTCCATAATTACGAACCTTATTCACTCAGTCCACTCTCGGCTGAGGAGAGTTTTGTGTTACTGCAAAGGAGGATGGGAAAGGATTGGTCCCCCGATCTACGTGAGCTCGGAATCAAGATTGCAGAAAATTGCAATGGATTACCTTTTATAATCGTCAATGTGGCCGATGATCTAGCGAAAACTGAGGAAGAGAGCTGGAAGGAAATTCTTGATGATTTAAGTTCGGGCATTCATGCTAGTGCAAAAATAAGCATGAACTTGTTGGAATTAAGTTACAACCATCTGCCAGACCACTTGAAAGCTTGCTTTTTATATTTTGGGGCATTTCCAAAAGGAGAAGAGGTTTCTGTGAAGAGGCTGATTCTTCTGTGGAGAGCTGAAGGATTCGTTCAAAGCACAAGAGGAAAACGATTAGTAGATGTTGCAGAAGAGTACTTGAACGAATTGATTGGAAGAAGCTTGGTCGTGGTTGCTAAGAAGAGATCCATTGGTGGTGTCAAAACTTGCTGGATTCATTATTTGGTTCATGATTTCTGTTTGAGAAAAGTGGAGGAAGCAAACTTTTTCCATCTCCTACAAGGTTACGATAATCTCTCTGATTGTAATGAGCCAAGCTACCTGCGGAGATTGTGCATTTATGGCGATGGGGACGATTTCAAGGAGTCTAAATTATTTTGTCCTCGCGCGCGTTCTTTGCTGTTGTTCCCTTCTCAGAAGAAGCTAGACCAATACTGGATGGCTACCGCGTTCGTCATTTCCATCTTCAAACTTCTTAAAGTGTTGAATTTAGAGCATATTCATTTGGGTGGAGTTGTTCCAAGTGAAATAGGACTTTTACTGCAGCTGACATACTTGTCCATTCGAGGAAGTATGGAAGTCATCCCATCATGGATAGGCAACCTATCAAACTTGGAAACCTTTATTGTAAATCTTGTCAGAATACAGTTGAAGGTTTCCTTGCCACCTACTTTTTGGAATCTGAAATGCTTAAGATTGGTTTCCATAAATTCTGGGGGTGGTATTTTGCCCATCCAAAATCTTGAGAATCCGTTGGTCTTGAGTGAGTTAGAAAGCTTTTCTGGTGCAGTGATTTCCTGCAGTGCTAGCATGGAGAATCAAATGCGGAAGTTTCCCAGCATCCGCAGGTTGAAATGTGATATCTCTAGTCTAGTTGCTAAGAATCACAACTTGGATGTGGTTGCAGTTCCTTTGGCAAAACTGGAATCACTTCACATACTTCGTTCAGATTTAGCAATGATGAACCGTGTTGTATTTGATTTGGATTTGCCCGTGAATCTTAAGAAATTGACCTTGTCAAGGCTTGCATTGCCATGGGAGAAAATTTTACCTGTTGGTACACTACCCAAACTTGAGGTTCTCAAACTACTTGATTCCTCCTTCGTAGGGGATGCCTGGGATATGGAAGAATATGGTTTCCCGAGTCTTAGATTCTTGAAAATGTCTAGGTTGGACATTGTCAGATGGACAGTTGATGATGATGAATTTGGCTGCTTGCAGAATTTGGTGTTGGATCACTGCAGCAATTTGGTAAAGCTTCCTTCCTGTTTAGAGTGTATTTCAACGCTTGAGATGATCGACGTCTTTGCTTGTTCAGACAATTTAGAAAGTGAGCTCAGACGCATTGAGGAAGAACAGGTGAAAGTCTATGGTAATGATATCGTAAGGATACACATTCGATGAAACAAGATCGCTTTGGAGCCCTGTCCGTTTAGTTCGCCTATCTATCTTCATGGGACAGATGTAACAGTAGAAACTTTGTTGTGTGTTCCCAATTATGATTATGTTGAAAGCAAAGCATCCTCTATTGAATATGATGTTTTTACTGTATGTTAAAAGCTTTTCTTCATCAATCAGGTTTTTTTTTTGTTTCGTAAGTATGCTCGGCCTGTGAGGTGGATTGCACCTGCAAAAATGTTGGATATGGAATCGCATGGCTTTGCCAATAATCGCAGTCAAATCAGGAACAAGAATGGAAAACATGATTTAAACCGCCCAGAATTTGGAATTTCATCAAATAGAAGTATAGAGCTCAGCCAAAAAAATTTCATGGCACTAAGTAATCCAACATTTCATGACATTTTATCTCGCTGAACACTGTTTCTTTTCATAAACCCAATTTTAGATAATTGAAAATTTTGTCAAACTGCTTTAAACCTCAGTCTTTCCAAGCTATAAAAAAATATATAAAAAAAATAAAAAAAATAAAAAAAATCTGAGCACAACTGAAGATGAAAATGACCAACTCAACAAAGCCAAAAGGTCTAAATCTAATAAAGGGAAGCAAATTCAACAATGGATTCATAGTCTTTTCAGTTTTCCAATCGTCCTATTTGTCTTCATTTTTTTCTGCTAATGAATTTTCCTGGTTCTTCTTTTTGTTATTTTATCCTTTGGTTTCTTCTCATAATATATCTCAGGCCATCAAAGGCAGGACCAGTGTAAACAGCTTGCTTCTTCATCAGCTCCTGGAATTTTTGTTGATGCGTCCCCAATGCTTTGCATGATATTTAGGGCAGGCTCTATCAAAGGCAGGTTCCGCGGAACCAAGAACTAATTGAGGTAGAACCTCCCAAGTTGGATTAGGGTCTAGGATCTGCCAACTGAATCCTCAAGCCTCTACTCAACAGCTGGCTCTAAAGGTATGTGAGACCTTCATCTTGTGGTTTGATTGATAAATTATGAGAATATTTCTAGTTTCAAGATTTAGCATATCTTAAACCCTTTTGCTTGCTTTATTGGTTGATGTTAAGTTTTCCAGTTAATAATTCTTTGAGGGTGAGAACCATACAGACTGTAGTAGTAGTAGTAGTTGTCTCCTCTCATTTCATGAGGGTTGATCCAGAAACTTGGAACTTTCTTTGTGGCTTTCCTCCAACAACCAAAGAGAGTTACCGAAAACATGGCATTGTAGAACTCTGTTCAAACTGTCTTGGATGATGACCTGATAAAATCATCGGCATCTTCTCATACAGATGCATTCCCAGAACCATACTTGATATGAGAAAAATAAATTGAACTTGGCCCCCATTTATGTAGAAGTTTTTTTTGCTTTATCCAATATCTCCATTTTGAAGTAAATGTAGGACGAGGGCACTTTCTCCGAAATGAATGGATTAACTTTCGGCAAATTATCTGGTACACCCGGGGGCACCGTGTATCCCCCTGCGCGTGTACTTTACTCTCTTAGAATAGCGTGAGTTCACTAGATAATTTATCCTTCTTTTTCTTTTTTTTTAAACGCGGAATATATAAATTAACGAATTCATTCAAATTGGATATTGGATACCAGTGTGCACACTATGGATAACCAGCTACATACTATGGATAACCAGTGTTCACCATGTGGATAACCAGTGTTGGCACTATGGATAACCAGTTACACACAGCTGGATAACCATTATTAAACTGTTGGATAACCAGTATAGACATAGTGGATAACCAGTGTGCACATTATGGATAACCAGTTACACACAGCTGGATAACCAGTTGCCAAATTTTATTTTTTTCCTTTTATATTTTTCTTGGATATCCTTGTCTGTATTTTTTACACTGGTTATACAGCTGCTCCTCATTCATTTTTTGTTCTCCATCATTTGGCAAACTTCCCCTCATTCAATTAAATACTATTTATAAAATTTGCCACGTTCGGCATGGGGGCGGCACAGGAGGATTTATACAAGTAATTTGTGTCTCCTCTTAACGTAACAACACACTCTCCTTACACACACACACTCTCCTTACGCACACACGAAAAAATGATTACCTTAGCTACATTGGCGTGTTCGGCGGGGCGGCCAGCCGGGCAGGTTGGTGACCTGCGATTCCGGTAGCCGCGGGAGTCGTTTAGTTTATCATGGGGAGCGTAGCCCGCCAATGAACATGCCATTTGGATAGCCATTTTCTTATGGATATTTTCTTTTGTTATATCTTTTTGGAAGCCCTCTCTGAATCTTTGTTTTGTTATGTCCACATGGTGGATAGGCATTGGTTACATATGGATAAGCAGTATTGAAGTTTTGGATAACAAGTATAAACTCATGGATAATCAGGTTAAAGACTGTACTTGCATTTTTTTAACTGGATAATCACTATAAAATATTCGGATAATCAGGTATAACAAGTTTGATAACTAGTACAAAGATCCTGGATAACCATTACAAACGGTTGGATATTGCTGCACATTGGCTGGATAACCAGTAAAAAATTCCTAGATAATCAATACAGAGCATTAGATAATCAGCAAAGAAATATTGGATAAGCAAGATAACATCATAGGATAACCAGTATGAAATGGGTGGATAACCAGCATTTAATGTAAAGGTGAAAAATGTTGAGCGCGTGTAACGCGTGTGTTTGGTGGGGGTATACGGTATACCCGGGTGCACTGGATACGGACTCTTAACTTTCTATAGAAACAACAGATGTTCTTAACTTGTCAAGAAAAAGAAAAACAGATGTTCAGTCTTAAATTGATTGAAACTGGGGAAGGATAGGAAACAGAACCTGGAGAAGTGCCAAGTCAAAGCCAGAATTCATCATGTTGCAAGAAAAACTCAGGTATAGGAATAGGAAGGAGGACAAACCACAAGTAGACTTCCTAATTATTTCTTCCAAAAGAAAGAGAAAACTAAGACATAGACTCACATCGTCATTACTAGCTTACAAGATATTTGGGTTCGCCTTGTTCCGAAATAATGCCAAATGCTTTTCAATCCTTTAGCAGAAGCATCACTGGTCTGGACCTGATTCCTCCACATTGACAGCTAGAAACGGGCATGAAAAAAACATTAGAAACCAAATTTTGCCAGGCATATAGTTTAACTTATTTGCATTCCCTAGTTTAAGGAGGCATAAAGAAGATCTTAAAATACAACGTAACGTCACTAACCTGCACAGGAAACTGTAAATTGTACGGGATAGGTGGAAGAACCTCAATGGTCTGGAGGAAAAACAGAAAGCTTAATTATGTTCCGGTCGCCTTTGTTGGCTTGTAATAGTTTGAGTTTCAACAGTTTCCTGGCAGAGGACGCCACGCTGCTGTTGGTGTGGTGAAGGACTACCGATTGTAGGGTTGGAATATCTGCCAAACCATATGGAAGTTCCTGAAGCTCCTCGCAGCCGTTGAGTTCAAGGCTTTTCAGTTGGGGGAAATGATCCCCTGAAGCCTTCCAGACCACCAGACCAGTGCTTCCAATGTACAGGTGTTTGAGATGCTTAAAACCTCCTTTTTCAGCTTCCCACATGTTTCCTTGAAATGAGAACTCTTTTAACTTGAGAACCTCAAGAGTATCGAGCTCCCCCAATACAGACATCTCTATCCAATCTAGTCGAGTATTTAATAGAGTGAGCCTTGTTAACTGTGGGGGAAAGCTCTTCTTCAAAGGAAGAATATAGAGCCTGGAGTTCATGTCACTATTCAATAGCTTCAGATTTTCGAGCGACTCCAATTTGTTAAGACATGCGAAGAAACTAGCTCCACCATCTAGCTCAAACAACTTGGATAATGACCCATAAATGCCCAGTTTCTTTAGCTTGGGAGTCTGGTTAAAAACTTCTCTTTTGCAACTTTCAGGCGAAATGGTACATAGTGTTTGGACATTTTTAGGCCACAAAGCGCCCTCCTTACCTTCCAGTTGGCTATTTGCATTAGGGCATGGAAAACTGGTTGCTCTATTGGTGTGTAAATGTCTGAAATGCGGCATCTTCCAAATGTCTGCTTGGATTTCAAGAGTAGGGGAACTAGTTTTTACTATAAGAGTTTGCAGATTCCAAAGCTTAGAAAATGCTTGAGGGATGATCCCGTTTCTGAAGTTTATGGATATGTACTTCAAAAGAACAAGACCATAGAATTCAGGGGGGAAACGAGGGAAAATAAGTGATTGAACCTCCAACACCCTGAGAAGCTTGGAAGCCTTTGAAATGGATCTAACAAGTTTCAATTCGACTGCCATATCTTCTCGAGGACAAGTAAGGAAAGACCGGACACACTTGCCTGCAGTTGCGACAGAAAGAAAATGCGACACATTGACATCGTTGATGCAAAGACGACGGTATTGATCCAGGTTTCCAAGCCCAAAGGATGACAGGTTATCCATTGTAATTTCTTGGAAAAAGTTCTCTTCTACAGCCTCTCGGTGGCAAAATCCACGAAGTGTGCCATGCAGGAGGCAAGTTTTCATCTTGCCATTGGACCTCCGTCGTCCCACCATTACCAAGCTTCTAAAAACAAGCTCTTCCAGGTATTTCTCTGCTACAACCTCCATGTCAAGATTGCCTTCCTGTTGTATGAGTCCTTCGGAAATCCACAGCCGCACTAGTTTCCAAACAGGAATCTCAAAGTCTTTACGGAATAAACCAAGATAGAGAAAACACCGTTTCAAGTGGTTCGGTAATTGCTTGTACGAGAAGTATATCAGCTTGGTGACTTGTGTTATATCCCTGGCCTTGTAATCGCTCAGGTTGTTGAAAACTTCCCTCCACCAATCAATATTTTCAGGATGGTTCATAAGCATTTCTGCATTTAACACCAAGGCCAACGGTAAACCATAACATTTACTAGCTATTTTCATTACATACTCTGCAAATTTCGGAGGGCATTCATTTTTTTGGAAAATCTTCAACCTGAGTAATTCTTGGCTGTGATCCAAACTTAAAAAGTCCAACTTATACCAATAGTTTGGATTATTTGGATGTGCATACATTGCCACCTCTGCATTGCGGGTAGTCATGAGAACTCTACACCGCTTATTGTTGTTAGGAAAAGCAAATTTGAATCTATCCCAATCATTTTTCTCCCAAACATCATCTAATATCACCAGATAAGTTCTTCCTTCCAATTGTTGTCTAAGGTAATTTTCTAGCCTTTCTTCGTCCAAGTTACTAACTTCATCATTGATCTCAGCGAAAGAAGCCAAAATTTCGAGCATCACTTTTTTCTTATCGTAATCTCGTGAAACATAAATAAAGACCTTATCCATAAACTCATATGTAACATGAGGATCCTTGAAAACCCTTTTAGCCAGTGTAGTTTTCCCCAATCCACACATTCCAACTATTGAGATAACTTCAAGTTGCTTTGGTCCTTTAACCAGGCAGTCCACCAAGTATTCGGCTGCCCCATCAAACCCAATGATCAGTTGTTCTTCCTCCACTTTGTGTGCCTTCACGAGTATACAGGGGAAGCCAAAAATTAGAAGCCAAATTATACTCCCATCTTCATTTATCAATAAGCAAGATTCAATAATTGTATGTTAACAACTAAATCAAGACTAACAGAAATTGAAAATGTGTTAAAGAAAACATACATCAACAGTCCCTCTATCCTAAAATGATTGTGAAGTTCGGTATTTTCACTTTTACTACAATTTGAACTAAGAACAGAAAATCCAAACTCGACAACCATTTCAGGACGAATGACATAATGTGAGTGAGCATTGGAAAATTTCCAAAATCATAGAATCTGTTTAGCAACTTACTAATTTCACAAACCCAGAAACCTGATTTTTTCCAAGGATTAATAATATAAAAGGTATGAATAAAGTAAGTGAAAGATATTGACTCGCCTCACTAGATTCTGCAGTTTTATTGAAGTTACTAGAGATGGCTTCAAAGCCACTCCAGACTCTTTGAGCTCTGAGCTCCTCAACTTTCTTACAGATTACTTCAATCTCCCTCCCAACTTCTCCAAGCACCACAGCGAAATCCGTCACGCCGTGACAAGCCCCGGAGAATCCAGGCCTGGATGTTCGGAGGTCAGCCTGAACTATATAGTTGTCAATGGCATCCTCAGCTTTCCAAAGTGTTGATTTGATATCCTTCATTGTTTGCTTGAGGAGTTCACTGTCGTTGTCAGTGTAGTTTGAGAAATCCACCATCAGGATCTTCAGAACCTTCAAATCTGCTTCCAGTTTCTCAATGTTTTCCTTCACATCGGCAATCAGATGACGGTTGTAACTCAGGAGTTGACCCACATTTTCCAGCAGAAAACTCACGGCCGCATCCGGGACGGCCATCTTTTCTATTTGCTTTCTGCTTTATTTTTCTCAAAGCCAAAAGAAGAGGACGATCTCTTGATTTCTGTTTATGGAAGTGTGTAATGAACGTATGCAAGGAAGAAGGAGATGGATCGATCAATCGTACTGAAGTGGGCGACAGAGTTTATAACCACCCGGCGTTGACCTATGAAAATTAATCTGTCTAGATTCATAGTCATGACACGAAGTAACAGATATTAATTAATTGATTATTGAATACATTGTATTTGAGGAAATAGTAAGTTTTAAAACTTAGTTAACAATTTTTTTTACAATGAAGGGGACCTTAGCCTATAAACCAAAACTAACATTTAATGGATAGAAATTTTGACAAAATTATACTCTAACGACATTAGTGAAATAAAGTATTCCCTCCGTCTCAAAATTATTGTCCAACTTGAATTTTCATTCTAAGTATATGAACTGAACTAAAAGTGAAAATCCAAATTAAACAATAATTTTAGAATATAGGGAATATGAAACACTAGAATATAATGGGGATAACGTTCAACTTTTTTTAAAAAACTCAATTAAGCAAGAATATAGAGTACTTAATTAAAGTAGCAAACAAAAAGGACATGTGTCAGCATCACAATGAAAATTTTCTCGCTAAAAGTCATTTCTAGTACAAAATCATTTTTGACACGTGGCACTCTAACTAATCAGAAAAAAAAAAAGATACAATAGATAAATACATAAATCCCTTAATTATAGCTACATAAAAATATATTAATTATAGGTATATACTAATCCCTTAAAACAACAATATTTAGTTACTAAAATCAAATGTAAGGAAATCTCCTTAAATCAAGTGAAACACCAGTAATGTTTTTCTAATCCCCAATTTCAAAGAATTTCTTCCATTCCGCTCCTCTCTCACACCTGGGCCTTTAAATCAATTACTTAAAATCTGACATCAATTATCAATCCATCTCTTTCTACAACAGAGAAAAAATAAGCTGTCATGAAAGAAATTTGATTTTTTAAGGATGATTTTTTTTATTCTTCTGTTGTAGATATTGGTTTATGATTTATGTAAACCCGGGCATAAGTTGACTGTTATAAATTAAACGTTATAAATCTAGACATAGATTTATGTGTAATAACTCACTTTCTGTCCTTTCAATCGATTTTTTATTCTTCTAATTTTTTTTATTCTTTTAAGAATGATTCGTGTTTTTTATTTAATCAATTTAAAATACAGGCGACACCCCGAGCATTCGCCCGAGACAAGCATTTAGTTATAGTTAATCTAATATGCAAAATATAATAAAATAAAATAATACTTCTTCTGTCTTAAAAGAAATCTATATTGAGTTTTGAGAATGAAGCTCGTAAGTAAAGTGGTTGAGACGCAATTGCATTGCAAAGTTGGGAAAATGAATCTTCAGATAGACATGTAATGCGTGTATGCCCCTTGGGTTTGAGTGTATAACACTATTAATGTCAGTCATCCTTTGAGAGGGTGATCACTGTCAATATGATAATTATCTCATGTGATAATTATTTAGAATTGTGATTATTGTAGTTAGGTTTTATCTTGTGTTTGATATTATCCTATGTGGTATTATCTAGTTGTTAGGATCCTCTATATAAGTCATATTGATAATTGCTTAATACAAGCCATTTCATTCTCTAAGTTGATATCGAGTTAGATTATAAAAATATATTTTTATTTCTTCTTCTTTTCTTCTTGGCCGTCACCGCCTCCGTACTCTTCTTTTCCTTCGGCCTGCCTTTCTTCTCCCCTTCTACACCATCTTTTCTTCATCATTCGCAAGACAACATAAAAAAAAAAAAAAAAAGCCAAAACACCACCAAAATCCAAGCAACTCCACGCCGCATCTTCTTCCATCATCAACCATCATCCACGAAACTCACCTAAGCAGCAGCCAAGCAAAAACAAAACAAAAAGAAAATCTCTCTCCTAGATTTAGAAAACCTTACTCTTTTTTTTTTCTCCAATTTATTTTTCAGCGGCCGTCGTTGTCCTTCCTTACCGCCGCCATCAGTTATCTTTCGGTCAGTTCTGTATTCTTGTGCCGCTGTCAGTCTTCCTCCGGTCGTGTCGCATCTCATTCTTGCGCCACTATTCGTCATCTTCCGGTCGTGTCGCATCTCATTACTGCACTGCCATCAATCATCTTTCGATCAGTGCTGCATTCTTATGCTGCCGTCAGTCATTCTTCGGTCGTACTGCATTCTTGCGCTGCCATCAATCATCTTTCGGTTAATGCTGCATTCTTGCACCGCCATCAGCCTCCCTCCGGTCGTACCGCTTCTCTTTCTCGCTCCGCCGTCAGTCCCTTTGTCCTGTTGCTAGTGTTACTGTTCGCTTATTGCTGTTGGATCGTTGCTCACCTCGATTTTTGGGCAAACTGAGACTACTCCCTTCTCCTTGTCAGTTTGAGGGGACGTGTCAATATGATAATTATCTCATGTGATAATTATCTAGAGTTGTAATAATTGTAGTTATGTTTATCTTGTATTTGATGTTATCACATGTGTTATTATCTAGTTGTTAGACTTCTCTATATAAGTCATATATAATTATTATTGATGATTCCTTAATACAAGCCATTCCATTATCTAAGTATCACGAAAATACTTAGGTAATAGAATGGTAACTTCGGTGTAATGTCTTTCTTCATTTCCTTTTTTTTTTTTTTTGCATTTCTAAATGTTAAAACAAACTTGAGAGAAACCTTCGCTTGCATGCGGATATGCTAAATTCTGGACAGCCTAATGTCCATTGTCATTAGTGAATCCAATTTTATTCAATTGAAACATTAACAATGAATAATAACTTCCAATTTCCCGACATTTAGCGGATTCAATATTAATATTGAAATCAATTCTCTACACTTGATGAAACCAGAGTAGCTTGAAATTGGAAGTTTTAATCTTTAATATAGGGCTAAGATAAGACCAAACATATTCTTATCTCTCTCTCTCCCTCCCTCCCCCCCCCAAAAAAAAAAAAAAAAGAGCGAAAATTAGATATGTTTTCTAATACTCCTTCTAGGTTGAAGTCCAAAAAAAGTCTGATAATCTTCGTCTGCAAAAAAAAAAAAAAATCCGATCAGTTTAATGACCAACATTGTCTAACAAAAACACTTCAGACCATATGAATCTAAAGTAATTTGCTTATTTTTTATTTTGTTTATAATACCACGAGTTTTGTGCATTTTTTTAAAGAAGTAATTACTACAAGTATTGTTGTTTCACATGAATGTGTTTGAGTTTTTTCATATAAAATTATATGTTTAATAATATCTCAGAATCATTTATAATTAAAATATTTAACATAGAATTAATATCATTTAAATTTTAACACAATAATATTTAAAAATTGACGCATGCGGGTATATAACACTAGTATATGAATATATAAGAGATTCCTACTCTAAACATGATAACATATACTTCCGTGATCTTCATATGCGTTTACTTTTCTTAGCCTTGACTTCTTTTTATTTCTCTTTCCTTGACAGAGAAAGTTGTTCTTCGTTACTAATCATACAATTCCAAGTTACGTACATCGTTTCATGAGACTCGATCAACACGATCGGGAATAAACAAATCATATCCAGTACTACATTTTCATTATTCTTTTGGCAATAATATTTTCAAATCGGTGTAAATGATGTCCCACCTTCCCCCAACCATGCATCGTGGTTTTTGACCGTGAGAAATAATGCTGGTTCCACCCATGCAGCATAAGTATTTGAGATTTTTATAGTGAATATTACTGATAAGAACATTGGATTTATTTTCTTAATTGAAGTATTAAACAAGTCGACATATTAAACTAAAACAATTTGTGCAGGCAAAAAAAATAATCTACCAACATCTTTTCACGCGTATCAACTTCATCTGTCAATAGCTGACATTTCACTGAATAATTTATTAGTATATTCTTTTTCCCCCTCGAAACTAAACTATCTTTTGAAATAGATCATACAGTATATGTGAGTTGGATTTTTTTATTTTTTATTTTTGGGACAAAGGCTGCTTAATATTAAGTAGTACCTAACCTATGTGAGTTGGATTAGTCCCCACGTTTATTAAACAAGGTTATATTGACTTTGAAATTTCGCCAATTCGATGGCTTCAATAGTTGGTCACATTATTGACCGGGCTCAAGTGGCCAACTCTCGTTTCCCTATATAAACCCTCCTTAGGGAGCAATGAATTGCATCATTTCATCACTACTCCATACATTGTATTCAACCGAAAACTTTAACCCCAAATCAAGAAACCAGCTGTTAACGAAGAAGAGAGAATCATGGCTGCTCCAACCGGTTCGGTTATCATTCCCGACATTTCCCGGGCTGACTTTGGCGATAACTTCACCTTTGGAGCCGCTACTGCAGCTTTTCAGGTACTTCCTCTGTCCTGACATTACTGTCCAGTTTCCATTCTTAGTTTTAGAATAAATTGATTAGGTTTAATTTTGAGTTTGGAGATTTTGTTTTGTTTAGAAAATCTTTCAGATAATATGTCATGGAATCTATAAATAAAAAAAAAAATTAAAAAAAAATTCTGTGAAGCACCAAATGAAAGATTGCTCCATCTTTAGTGATGAAATCAAAAAATTGGTATATGAATCGTATATAGGTGGAAGGTGCTGCTGCAGAGGACGGCCGAGCACCGAGTTTATGGGATACTTTCACCGTGCAAACTCCAAGCAACGTGAAAGATGGAAGTAACGCTAATGTTGCTGTTGATCAATATCATCGCTACAAGGAAGATGTCAAGATCATGAAGAAAATTGGTCTTGATGCCTACAGATTCTCAATCTCATGGCCCAGAGTGTTGCCGGGTATGACTAAGCAAAGCAATCGTTGAAAATTATTGGTCATTTTTTGAAATTAAATTTCCAAAAGGAAAAAAAGAAAAAGTGGCTTGTAAAGTCTTTGATTAATAGCATTGAAAACAGTATTTTAAGTTGCTTGGCTAATCAAGCTGAATACGACTTGTTCAATGTTAGGTGGAAGACTTAGCGCTGGTATAAACAAGCAAGGAATCGAGTACTATAACAATCTCATTGATGAGCTCCTAGCCAATGGTACCATTTTCAACAAAGTTTTCCTTTTTTTCTTTCAGTTATGATATAGGAGTATTATTATCTCCGACCTAGAAAAATATTCTATTTTATTGAATTAAATTGTTCAACTAAGTGGAATATCTTTTTAGAGCTGATTTTTTAGTTGGAACAATGTAAATATATGATTCTATCAATAATTGGACTCACAACTCACACAATTTGCCAACAATTCCAGGAATTGAACCATATGTGACCCTTTTCCACTGGGATGTTCCACAAGCTCTAGAAAGTGAATATGGTGGTTTCTTGAGTGACAGAATTGTGTAAGTGCTTCAACTCAATATTATTCACATGACATTGACATTGTAATAATAATCTCAACTACGTACTAGCCAGAATCACTATTTTTTTTTTCCCTGAAAATACACATTTATTGATCATCTAATAAAAATGAATCAACAGGGATGACTTCCGTGAATTCGCGGACCTGTGCTTCTGGGAATTCGGCGACCGCGTGAAAAATTGGATTACTCTGAACGAGCCATGGACATTCGCCGTACTAGGTTACGCCGGCGGCGGCACCGCCCCCGGAAGGGGTGTGGTCAACACAACGGAACATGTCAAAGATGAAGTTCCTAAACACAGATGCCATGCTCCACATTCCGATGATTGCAATGAAGATGGTGACCCCGGCACCGAGCCATATATTGTGACACACAATTTGCTCCTTGCTCATGCTGCCGCTGTTAAATTATACCGTGACAACTATAAGGTAAATTCCAATAATAATTCATATGGTCTATTAACTGATAGGAAATGATTAATTATAAAAATATTGCCTCCGCCCTAAAATTATTGTGTAGTTCGAATTTTTATTTTTTATTCAATTTGTACTGAAAATAATAATTCAACTTAGACAATAATTTTGAGATGAATGGAGTATTAAACTTTTTCGATGACAAGTTTAGTCAATGAATTTGTGAAGTTTTAAAATAATAATATTTTGTCTTAATCATACAGTGCCAAGGAGGTAAAATAGGGATCACCCTAGTTTCTCAATGGTGGGAACCACTTACCAAAACTCCAGAGGACGTAGAGGCAGTTGAAAGGATGGCGGACTTTATGTTCGGATGGTATTTATATTCTTCTTTTTTACATTTTTAAAGTTTTAAGACAGAAAATCCCAATAGAAGTTTGGATTTAAAAAAAAAAAAAAGAAAAAGAAAATCCCACTAGAAGTGGTTAGTGGATCTTTTTGAAGCATACATTAATTCAAGATTTTTTTTTTTCTCCATTTGCTTTGTTAGGTATATGGCACCAATAACCTATGGTTACTATCCAGAAAGAATGAGAAATATTGTGAAATCGCGACTTCCTACATTTACCGATGACCAAAGTAAAGATTTAGCAGGATCATTTGACTTCGTCGGTGTAAATTATTACACCGGTCGATATGCTTCGGATATATCTAAGGATCCAATCACCGTCGTTTCTTATAATACTGATATGATGGTCAAAACTCAAGGTAAAAAAAAAAAATTCAATTTTTTTCTTAGCTTTATTTCTTTTTTCTTTTTAATGTTATTAATTCATATCTTTTGAGAACGAAATTTCACTTAAACTCACATTTTTATGTTTGGCTATTTTCCTTTCGCTATCGCAGTTAGTGACGTCAACGGCAAATTGATCGGGCCAGTGGTGAGAAAACATTTCATTATTATGAATATAAAATTATTGTTTATGTTTGACTTTACTAACTTTTGTTTTTTCAATTTGATATTTAGGCTGGTTCTGATTGGCTTTACGTTTATCCACTTGGAATTTACGAACTCCTCAAGCATATTCAGAGTCGTTACAAGGATCCAGTCATTTACATCACTGAAAATGGTATACATAATGAGATTTTATATATTTACTTTTTTTTTTATTGTTTGATTAACTTTCACCGCATAAAATTATGAAATTAAACTTAAGTGATTTGAATTGTAGGTTACGATGAAGTGAATGATCCCAAGCTAACAATCTCACAAGCGCGAAGAGATGAGAAAAGGATTGCATACATCCATGATCATCTCCAATATGTTAAGAAGGCTGTAGAGTAAGTTTTCATCACTAAAATTTAAAAACCACAGATATCGATAAAAGATCTTTTCCAACATTAATCTTGTGTTACACATCCGTTCTACAAAATTAATTAAATTACTAGTGTGGTAGTAATATTTATGCATTCATTTTTCTTCTTTGCAGTGAGAAAGTGAAGGTTCAAGGCTACTTTGTATGGTCTTTCATTGACAATTATGAATGGCAAGAAGGGTACACGGTTCGTTATGGTATGACATATGTGGATTACAGAAATGGATACGAAAGATACCCAAAATTATCAGCTCTTTGGTACATGAATTTCCTAAACCCTAGCAAAATCCCAAAGCAAATTGCGGGTTCAAAGAGGCCAGCTCCAGACAATGGAGAACAGGGTTCTGATGGTCAAAAAGCCCCCAAGAGGAAAGTCATCTACAAAGTTTGAGGAGAACTAGCTTTTGTAGCTAGGAAGATTTCACCATTTTGTTTACTAAACATGTAATTCTTTTTTTCCCCAGGATTGTTACAAATGTCTGAATAAAGTAAAGCCAATGGGCTTCTGTCATTGTACCTTATTGTTGTTGTTTTATTTTGATGTAATAGATTTTTTTACTAGCAATTAATTAAAATCAAGTATAGTTCTACACGGTTGCCTTTCTTTAATGTGTGTTCTTAGATTAAAATTGTAAAAAATAAAAGTATATAAGAAATATAACATAGAAAAATTGTAAAAAGAAAAGAAAGATGTAGTGATACATGCATAGAAAATTCACAAGTACAATTTGTAACCAAAAAAAAAAAAAACTAGAACTACAATGTAGAAAGAATGATGTGATAAATCCTATCACATAAACCCAACGAAACACCATTTAAAAAAAAAAGTAAAAAAAGAAAAAGACCGAGTATTTCATGTGACAGGTCAAATTTTGAGATTAGTACATTTGGTTCAATAACAACATTTCTTAATGATTTCCATCAATTCTTTTTTTCTTTTTTAAAAAGAACAATTTATTAAACATCTTGGGATTCAATCAGGTTTGATTGATACAAAAACTTTAGAAACTAATAAAAATAAGACATTTTACACTCAATCGATCAAGTAAACATTACGTTGGGTATGTTTCTATCATTTTTTAAGTGTGTGTTTATAAGTTTTTTCCAATTAGAAATGTAAAAAGATATATTGGGTGAAATACTTATTGAAATTTATTATAAAAAAAGGAGGGGCGAATTACATTTAGCCCCCGAGGTTTAGCCATATGACGACGTGGACCTTACCATTTGGACATACAACTGATATCCCCTTTGACCCCCTTCTTCACATTTCTAGCAAATAAACCCTTCTTCACCGGGAAGATGACTTCGTGGCATGATGTCAGCAAAAAATCAAACGATTGAGACAAAACTACCCTCATGTTTAAAAAAAAATCTGAGTTTATACGTAATAACAAATATTAAAATGCTAAAAAAGGGCCACCATATTTTTGATATCATCACCATCAGCACACTTCCTCCGCCCGTCTCTTCCTCAAAGCCACCAAAACTAACATCAACACAAACTCGACTCTAAGCATGCTACAAAACATCATTAAAATCACCCATATAAATCGAGGAAACATTCCCCAATAATCATCATCAATTCATTATCATCCAAGCTCTTCATTAATCGATCCCCATTCATTCATTAAGATCAGAATCTCCCAACACCACCCAAGAAAATAGTTCCTAACTATCATCACCATCATTATGAAATGAGTACCAGTGCCTCGTTTCCTTGATTCTTAAAGTTAGACAAAAAAATAAAGGGAAAAAAAAGGGGGGCCACAAAATCATTGTCTCTCACATGTAAATACAGTACTTCTCCTCCCAAAATAATAATTTCTCAATTTCATAAACAATTAAAACCCCATCTCAACCTAATTTCTCAAGTTCATAAACAACTGAAACCCAATATCAAGAGAATTTACTCATTTAGCAAAAAAAAAAAAAAAAAACCCAAAAGTTCAAAAAAGGGACGGTCTTGCTAATTTTGTCTCCCCCGAATCTCGTTCTCCACCCGAAACATCAGCTCCGCTGCCGTCAGCTTGCGGGCCTTCTTGTTCCGAGCAATTTCAAGCTCCTCTTGCTCTGCCTGGCGTAGAATTCAGGAAAGGAATATAGAACAGTGGTTGTAAAAGAAGCTGGCTTCAAGAGTCAGAACGGTGGTGATGAAGATTGGGAGAGGCGGAATAACGAGAAAAGTGGAAGAGAAGAGGAGGAAAGAAGAAGATTTTCGGTCTTTTCACACCTATCGCCCGTTGGCTTGCAAGTTTAGCCGGTCAAAGGGGGTATTCGTTATATGTCCAAACAGTGAGGTCCGCGTCGTTATATGGCCAACCCACGGGGAGCTAAGTGTAATTCGCCCAAAAAAGAAACAACCAAACAAACTTGGGTATACACCTTTTTTTAGGCCGCTAAGAACTTAGTATCCATTTTGAAATCATCAAGAAAAATGAGAGAAACCCCCACATACATTCTTAGCTAGATCAAACTTTAATGTGTTGTTATTTTTTTTTTTTAAGGTACCTGTATATTAGTTAAGTAAAAATACATAAATTATTACATCGCATTTTAATGTAAGGTAAGTTATCTAATTCTAGAACATCTTGTCTATTAAATTTAATCAGTTGATAAGATTGAAAAGAAGCAATAAGCGGAATTAAAAGAGAAACAATGATCTGAACTTCTGTCAAATTTGTATCAATTCTTAGCTCTCGTGTTAAATTTTCACAATCGGTGTGGACCTTTATCCTAGTAATACTCAAGTTTGCAGTTTCTTTGAGTACCAGTAAACATATCATTGCTTCTGTCTGGAATGAAAATATTGATATTGACACATTTAATTTGCATAAGCATGCTAAGATAAGAGGTGATTTTCCAAGCTCCTGATGTACTCGTGTGTGGATTGAAGGAACCATCAAAAACTAAACTAGGACCGAGTCCGAGGAATTCCTAGGCTGGCTAGCCGGAGGCAAGAATCTTCCAAATCTCTGCCTAAGTTGGTTCTGTTTGTGGAGGGCTACATATTTGGATCAATCTCCAAGAGACAGCCAGATCATTGTTTTGATTCCTCCTAATTAATTCTATCATTTTGATGTAGCCAGATTTTTCAAATGATTAGATGGAATAGATCAACTTCCTCCTTTGTAGGATGTGTTTGTGTCCACTGAGGTATTATTCTCTGTTAGTTTTCATATAAATTAAACGTTTGCCAGCTGAGTTCGTCGAATTTATTACTCCTTCTGTCTTGAAAAACTACATATACAAATTGAATTTTTAAAATTTATATTATTTTTAATACAAATCTCAACATTTAATGTCGACTAGTTCTTTTAGGCCCAAAAAAATATATAATAAAAATCTATCATCACACCTTCTCTTTTGGTGGGTAAACTAATATACTTACGCATGTAATACAAATAAGAACACAATTTTTATATATACAAAAAAAAAAGGCTCCAACATAACGAGTGTGTCGAGTGTTTTATTTTTTACATATAACAAAATAAATGTAATCATAAAAATATAATAAAATAAAAAAGAAAAAGAAAAGGCACCCCGACACACAATGACTATATTTTTACTAACATTAGTTAAATCCTCACATATCAAATGGAAATACCCTTTTCAAAAAAAAATGGAAATACTCTCCCTCATCAATCATCATAGTATATAATAATCTTATTTTGCTAAAATTATTCAAAATATAGAAAACAAGACTATTTAAAAGCTACAATAATAAGAGGATAACTTAAGCATATGAAGATCGCGATTTAGTAAATGACGATAAGTTCCAAAAGCACATCGACAATATGAAGCTCGAGGACTAAAGCAGGATCGATGTATCAAGATTGGCATGGTGTCTGTGGCGGGCACGAGTAACTCCTCATTGATTTCCTTCCAAGCATCTTCTACAATTTCTTCAAATTTCTCTATTGCCTCTTCTTCAGAAATATTGAAACTGTTCACATAACATTCTAGTCCAGTTGTACCCCTTAGCTTGTGAGAGTAATGCACACCAAATGAAAAAATAAGAATTCTAAAATTTTATCCATTAAAAGAAAATAAGCATTATGTCATATATCTACTTATTGAAAGCCGCTGTCATAAAAGCCAGGTGACAGCTCCACAAAAGATATTTTCTCACCTAAATTCTGGAAATAATACGATGTAGTTTTGACTTAATAAGAAAAAGAAATTCCATAATTTTATACATAATCTTAAAGCTATCGTAAAGTAATTTTATTTGATGGATCAATTATAATCTTCTCAAATTTAATTTTCTAAGAATCAAAAATATCATCAACAATTTCTTTCCTCTATCCATAAATTCGCATTAGAGAGCTCAACCTTGTCCTAGAAAGAAAAAAAGAAAATCCTACAAATTTTTTTTGTATATTTACTTTCTCTATTTTGTTTATATCCTAGAGTCACTGTACCAATAAACTCAAATTTGAATCACAACACAACGTCATCGCTTTGTTTACAAATTTGAATCATAGTATAACTCCACCACACAATTTATAATTTCAATTGTATGACAATGTTATAATGTATTTTTAAAGGTAAATAACACAATGAGAATTAAGTGCATTTACCACTGAGTGCAACATTACAATATATTTTTAGAAGTAAATACTAGAATGAGAATCAATATCTAGGCTAAAAGGATTGAAATTGTTTTATCTTTTAATTTTTTTTCTCTGAAGGATTATTTTGTCATAACAATTTTTTTTTTTTCATTTTCATAGTTACATATTCTGTTGTTAAGTGATGTCCTGCTAAACAATGCCCAGGCCGTTGTCCGGGCTCATAAACTAGTTAATAGTGAAAACAAACTACAACTATCAAAAGATTAGACAATTCGGAATGGAAACTAGACCGTGGAATATTGTTGCAACAACAAGACGATGGTTTCATACATCAAATATGTAATTTATATATATCCTATTAAAACAATAGTTTAAGAGAAAAAAAAGGCTTACGTGTCGCGCTCTCATGCTTTCATTTCTGGTCCAACAAAAACGATGATGTTTTGTAAAAAAAAAAAAAAAATTCCTCTCACCTAATTATACTGAAACTTTTCATCTCTTTATTATAAGAGAAAAAAAAAATATATGGTTGATTTTTTTTATTGATCATTATGAATTGAATGAAATCTTTGACCAAATAAAATATATTAAACAATCATAATCATACCATTAATGCGCATTAGTTCAGATGATAGTGTCTACATTAAAATCTCTTAATCAGCAATGAAGTTAGTTTACTAAAAACAACAATCATTCCTCCGTAATTTCCGATATTCTGTAAATATTTCTAAGTTTAATAATATTGCACTCTTATCTTATCCCAATCTTCCGTATCAAACGCCACTATTTCTAAGTATATATATTCGACTTTAGAACACCATTATTTACGATGAGAAGTCCAAGAGAACAAAAAAAGCTGAGGTGTCGCGTTATGGTTAAAGTTTTTCCTTCCAAAACATCTTAAGCAAAAACTACGTTGTATTGCATAAATATATATATATATATATATATATATATAAGTGTGTGTGTGTGTGTGTGTGTGTGTATATAAACAGGTTCATGTTATAAATGAATATAAAAATCAGCCCATTGTATTTTCAGATAGGAAAATTTTAATTATGTGTTCTTTAATTAAATATTTTATTTTCGAAAAAAAAACGCCATATATGGTAAAAAAAAGGTTAAAGTTTCACAAGTAAAATTACGAAAAAAATCCATACGAAATATATTTTTTACATTCAAATTGAATCACTCTAATACCAAAAAAAAAAAAAAAGAAGAAAGTTGAAATTTTGCGAGTAAAATGACGAGAAAATCCAAGTAAGGCATTAATCTTCTTATATTCAAACTCAATCATTGTAATATCCATCTTATTAAAAATTGTTAAAATCTAACGGATAAAATTACGAAAAAATTCAAGTAAAACATTTTTCTTTTATTTAAGCTAAAAGAAATTTAAATTATAATAATATCAATACCAATTAATTTTCACACTATATTTTTTTACCTCATTTTTTTACTATTCACTTTCTTCATCCTTTTTTTTTTTGCATCATCCGTTTTTCTTTAGATTTTATTTTATAATCAACCATTAATCGAGTATTTAGTATTTTTTCACAACTAATAATTATTTCAATAATATATTTTAATATATTCTGTGCAACGCATGGGAGAAAACCTATTACAAACTTTTAAAGATGGGATGGAAGTGCATTGGCCCATTGAGACTTTCAGGCCTTCTTCCCTTTGCCAACTTGCATTTGATGGTTGTTGGGTCATTAATGAGAATCTAATTTATACTAATTATAATATAAGGAGATAATAGAGAACAAAAATCTATTTCATTTATTTCAAAAAATAATCATTATCAAATTTTGAAATTTAAGGGGTAATGGTCTCTCATGTCGGGAGTTGAAGTAAAGGGATTAGTTAAAAAGTTGGAGGGGAGTTCAATAAAAGTCAAACTAATGTAGATAGATGCTTGTCCAGTTGTCCCACTCTAGAGGTGATAATAAAAATGGGTCGGCGAACAGGGAAAACATCACGCATTGCCTGGCTTAGTTTGACTTGTAATTGTTGTGATACTCCTCCATTTCAAAATGTAGGTAGTTTTAAATTTAGAGAAATATTTTAAAATGTACATCGCTTCATGATTTTAAGGCAAATTATAATTAACTTTTCAACTTTGCCCCAATAAATAATGATAACCACTTTTCATCTGATATTGGTTATAATTCTAAAACTGGGTAAAATAGAAATTTAACACACAAATTAATTATTAAATGATTGTCTTCTTAGTTTACATATAGAATCTGAAGTGACCTACAATTTAAAATAAAGAGAATAAATATTAATAATGATTGGACCTCAACATGTTTGGGCAAGAATGACCAGCCATATCACCTGTCAATTAATTGATGCCTTCAATGAGCAATCCTCATTAAATGATTTCTTTCTTTCTTTGGTCTATGCTCTATATATATTATTATTTATATATAGAGTATAGACCAATAAAAAGTCACTTTAAATTTAAAATAATGATATATTTAAGTGAAATTTAAAAGTCACTCTAAAGGATTAATAGTGATTTTCTATTTACTCTCTATTACAAAGTTAAATATTTAAGTTAAAATTATTTGTTCAACTGTCAAATAAATAAATAAAAAATAAACTTAAATAAATAAATGAATTAAATAAATTAAATAATTAATTAAATAAATATATTAAAAATAAAAAAATTAAAAAAGAATTTAAAAAAATTAATTTCGGTTTGGCGAGCAAGGGGCGCACCCGCCACCCCCATTTTGGACACCAAAATTTTTCTCGCCTCCCTTAATTGGGAGGCGAGAAAATTGGCGCCACCCTTTAAAGGGTAAAGGGTGGCGCCTTTTTCCTGTGCCAGTCAATGGTTCTTCGTCAGTCCTTTTTTTTAAAAAAAAAAAATAATAAAGGTAAAATAGTTAAAATATAATTTTTTAGGGTGCTCAAACGAAAAAATTTGGACGCTCAACAGCTTCCCAGATAATATTATATACAATTGTCTAAGTTACTAAAAAAAGAGAAGTAAAATTGTCCTAGTTATACTATTTTGAGATTCGAGTATATCACAATCAGCGGCGGAACTACGTTGGGGCTTGGGGGTCTCAAGCCCCTCCGACGATCGGAAACTTCAGAAGGATACCACCGAAAATTATCCTCAGTGGCTTTCTCTTTTACTCAAAGCCCCCCAGTTTTGGTGTGAGAGGAGGCTTTAGGATGGAGACATCTAGGCAGCAAGGACTAAGATTATTTTTAATTAAGATTTGTCGGCGACGGCGAGTTGCAGAAACACATTGGAGAAGAAGAACGCTTTATCAAAAACTTTAAAAATTATATATTTAGTTCTTATACGTTATAAATATGACATTAGTACCCCAAACTAATTAAAAATCTTCCCTTTGACTTTTTCCAAGCAGTTTCTCCCACCCTTGATTTTCAAAAAATAGGAATAAAAATCCCACGGTTTTATTTATTGTTATTATTATTTTTTATTTGCATTTTAAGCAATATTAGTCAATTTTGAGCATTTTTTGTGTAAAAATTTTGAGGACTACATGGGAAAATTTTATCGAATCCTAAGATTTTTTCCAGTAAATGTGAATAATAAATCTAGTAACATAAACATTTATTGTTTAAAAATTTTATTATAAATAAACTTAAATAAAACATAAAAATTTTCTTCATAAATCTACTGACTGCGAGGCCCCGATTATCAGAGCCTGGTTCCGGCACTATTCACTTTCAATCTTAATGTATATAATTAAAGCAAAAGGTGAGTGATATACTCACTTTTGTCCTGTAAATTCTTTGATAGCCATTAGCTTCTCCACATTTCCATCTTTTGGCTAACGAAGACTCTAGAATTAAATCATTCAGTTTGGAGTAATTAACTACTTCTCCTTTTAGGCATTACCTTTCACTCTCCTATTATCATTCATTCATGTAGTCATTGTTTCACGTAGATTATTTAATAAAGTCGTGACAGATCATGAGATTCCAATTATGGTATACCATAATACGTAGACCTCACGAACTTTTAATGACATACAAGATCACGAAATTCGTTACAAAATTTTACTGCAGATGCGTACTAACTGAATCCTTGCTTAACAAATTTAGGAATATGTTACTCTCTCCGGTTCTTAATATAAAGTATTTTGCATTTTCATAGGTGTTACCTAATAAGTATTTTTGAATAACGAAAAAATTTTAAAAATACGTTTTTACATTCATTATATTATTCTTGATTGTTATGAAATATTTTTTATTTTTTTATCAATTATAAACATGTATTAGGTGAAATTTGAAATAAATCAAAATGTCTTATATTAAGTACCAGAGGATTATTGAATATTGATGTGTTTTCGTGGTGAATGAAGTCCTTTGAGCTTTACAACTGTGGTAGTTGAAAAGGTACTAATAAGTCTTAAATAAGTGTAGACAAAAGCTATTCCCCATTGCCCCTATTCCTTTACTCATACGAAAGATTCGATGACAAAAACAATTCCTTAATTAATTTTCTTCTTGAATTCAATCCATAAAAAACACACACACACACACTCACATAGTGGCAGGAAGAAAGAAATGGATCGATGTTGTCGGCTAAACGTCGGCGTCTTGTGTCTATCATACTTCATCACGGTCAGCCTTGTCGTCTTTACGCGATCGGACGGCAGATATCTCCGGCCATCGGACCACGGCTTAGCGTATCAAGAACCTTCCGCACAGCCCGCCGCTAAAGGCGACTCCCCGCCGGAAATGCTCTCTTTTTTCAACGGCGGGAATTCTTCGCCAGCGTTACCCGAGGCCAGGAACTTCACCGACGCCAGGGGCGGAATTGGCGGCCAAACTTGGTGGAACGATCGGGAGAGGAGGATGTCACGCGACGCGCACAGGAAGCGCGTGAGGGAGGTGTTGCTGATCACCAGCCTGGTCTGTGGATTGGCCGGAGTCGTACTGCTGGCTGCGTCGGCGTTTGTGTTGGTAGTAAGGTACAGAAGGCAACGGCAGCCACCGCCGCCGACGCTGTCGCCGCCACCGCAGCAGCTGGGGGTGGAATGGTCAAAGCAAAAGTCGTTGTCGACTCGCGAATCCACGTCAGCGTTAGCCAATACTGCTGCTTGGAAATGAGAACACAAATAGTGCGTTTGCTTTCTGGTCTTTTGAATTTTTTTATTTTTATTTCGGAGATTATCCTCCTAGTGTATGTATGTGCTCCACACTTTCCAACGGTATATGGTGAAATGAAAATGAAATAGCAACTAATAATTTTACAAGAGTGAGATCTTGATACCGTTTTACGTCCTCAATTCATCTCTATTGCAAATCGAGAGTGAGATGTCCTACAGTAGTATAGGTACTCTGCCAGAATTAGTGTTTAATGTATGTTTAGGTGACACTGTGGACTTGAAGTTAGTTGATAATTGCATGTGCTTCTAGAAGCAAATTTCATTGCTAATTTTAGCTTCTTTAGTAGTAGAAGGACCCGGAGGTTTACAATGACTTGAGACTCCGCCAGATGGGCTCAAATCATGGATTTATCATGATGTATTGGGAATAACGTATCTTTGGAATGTAATACTCCCTTCGTCCCATAATTATTGTCCACTTTGTCTAAAAAATTTTGTCCTAAAATTATTGTCCAATTTGACTTTTTATGGATCAAGTTACACATTTGTCCTTAGTAAAAAATATTATCCATAAAATCTTAGTGGTTAAACAATTACTTATGCAGGGGTGTATCCGATTGTTTAAGGTAAAATATAGTTAAGTTTGACAAAAAATAAAATCTTTTATTTTAGTAAAACTGGACAATAATTATGGGACGGAGGGAGTAGTTGATAATTAGGCTTTAAATCTCTCACTTTGTAACAAAAATAATTGCAAGGTTACAAACGAAACAGAAAATCAACTTCTGTTGCTCTTAAAAAACGGGGGAAAAAAACAGTTTAAGCCAACTTTTGCATATGATGAAACAATTCAAGGAAAAGAATTGCGGAGCGATGAAAGACACAAAATGGTTCAGAAACTGACTAAATTTCGTTGTCATACCAAAAAAAAAAAAGACGGGATAGGAAGTGGGGTGAAAGGGTTGGGTGGGAGGGTAGGGGATTAGGATGGGAGATGAGGTTGAGGGTTCGATTCTCGCTCAGATTATTCAAATTTTTTATTATTATTATTTCTTTAAAAAAAAAAGACGGGGTAGGAAGTTTTTGGTACTTACAAAGATGGCATAGGAAGTTAGGAATCATGTATAATCAGAGTCTTCTGATCAGCTTTGGACTGAACTAGCAAATCTATTACTACTATTTAAGATTAAAAAAAATAAAAATAAATAAAGGTCTCCCCCGGTCGTTCCTTGATGAATACTTATTTGTATTCATGTTCTTAACATGTGGTGCTTAGTATTTTTTGCGTAAATAATTAAATGGTCCAGAGTATCGAAGACATAAATGGAAGTTGTATGTAGACTAATAAACAGGAACATGGCAGTAGTAATTTCATTTTTTTTAAGTTAACTTAGAGTACATTATAACTTCAAAATCATTATTCTAACTAATTCTAATTTGAGACGAGTAAATTATTATTATTATTACTAGTACTTACCCGCGCGTCGCGCGACGGGTGGAGAACCGATTCTTACAAATTTCTTCAATTAATAAATTATTTAAACCGTCATTGTAAAAACTATTAAGAGGAAATAGTATTTATAAAATATAACAGATGAATGCTGACATAAAATGACAAAAGTTGTGATATTATTCATAAAGAGAAATAAATAAAATAAAGCAATGAAACAGTAAAATAATAAGTAATCAAACAGTAAATATTGAAATAAATAATAAAAAATAACGTTTTATTCAACTAAATAGTAAATAAATAGTAAATATAATATTACGTATTTACCGTAAAAATTTACCACGAAACCTATTAAATAGATTTAATGTTGTTCAGATAAATATTTATATTTTCCATGTTTTTTTTATTACTTAAAATTTAAGTGTTTTCGATTATCTTTTAAAACAAAAGCATATCTTTTGTTAAAGTCAGGATCGGATTTTCTGACAGAGGAAATTATTTTTTTTAAAAAAAAGTACTAATTTTAAAGGATTTACACTTTTAAACTAATCCAAGTAAATAAATTAAAAAAAAGTAATGTCAAAGGATGTACAGTTCAAAAGTAGGAAGATTTCTATCACGAACGTAAGAAAGATTAAATTTATTATAAATGCCACGGGTCATTATCTAGCATTGAATGTTTATCTTTATACTTAATATAAAGGCACAGTAGGCAAGAAATTAAATGCTCAAGAAATATTCAGGGCCACCTTCAAATCGATCTCGTCCATCGGATGGGTACGATCCAACGGCCAATATTAAGTCACTTATTAGGGGTAAAAACGAAATTTCACAAATTCAGTGTACTGTTTGGTTCGTTTTTTCGTTCATTTTTTCAGAATTTTTAATTAATATCTATCCCATCCCAGCATACCTTTCTACATTCCCAATACACTTTTTTACATTTCCAATATACCTTTTTACATTTTTAATACAAAAAAATACTCTAAAAAAATCATCCAAACATAGCCTTAAGTTTTCCAGTGTAATAAGTAAAAATCTCCAATAACTAACCCTAAATTTTTCAGGTTAAAAGCTCAAACCACCCCCCACCCTCCCCCCCTCCCCCCACCCAAAAACGAAGCAACCATTAAAAACATGCACAGAAATGAAAACATTTGTTAATACTAGAGAGACTACATGGCATAATATAATTTATAAAAAATATGTTTATACTTATCAATGCAAGGATTTAATATTTTGTAATAATTATTTAAGATGTTAATATATTTAACTAAGAGGAAGTCTTACTAACTTATTCTATATGATTTTAGTTTAAAATAAACGATGAAGGTAACAATATGATAATAAGTTGTTGTGATAGAAAATAGGTTTTAGATTCAAGAAGGAAAACTTATGTTTGGAGGATTTTTTTAAGATTTTAATTATTTTATATTTTAGTTATTTTATTATAAATTATATTAATGCAAGTTATAGTCTCTTGAGTTAAATTTTAATACACTAAAATATATTAATATTTTTTTTATTTGAGCTAATATTTTATTTTTATGTGAAATATTAGTTTTATTTAAATATTTTTAATCTTTATGTTAGGAAGAATAAAATAAATCAGAAAAAATAGTGTCTTAATTATTCTATATTTTATTTATTTTTTTATAAATTATGTTAATGCAAGTTATAGTCTCTTGAGTTAAATTATAATATACTAAAATATATTAGTATTTTTTTTATTTGAGCTAATATTTTATTTTTATGTGAAATATTAGTTTCATTTAAATATTTTTAATCTTTATGTTAGGAAAAATAAAATAAATAAAAAATAGTGTCTTTATTACTAAACTATATTATTAAAAAAATTAACATGCTTATAGAAATACAATCATGGGTTATAACTATACAAAGATTAATTTTTACGGTAGAATTTGAAAATAAATAAATTTTTTTTTAAAAACTCATATAATAGACTCTTATAGTCATTAAAAGTAGTTGAGAGAAATAGAACAAAATAGAAAAAATAAATAAAAAAGTGAAAGGGACTGTTTTATTATTTTTATATATTTTAGGGGTTATTTTTAAAAATTTTAAAAATTATTGGGTATTTTTGGAATTAAATTTATTATTTTATTAAAAAACTAACGGAGATCCGTTAATTTGGACGGAAATGGGCCGATTGGACAAAATTGGCAAAAATTTCAAACATTAGAGTAAAGTTGGCTAACCGAAAATCTATTGGGTATGATTGACGACGAGGGCAAAGCTTTGGGTAGGAACGACATTTTTTCCTTTTTATGCTTATACTCTGTACATGTTTATTGATTTGGATCTTTTGTATTGTTATGTTTGGAGTGGACTGACTATAGTGCTAGGTTATATTTGCGCCTGGAATTAGCTCTGAATACCATTTCAAATTAATTTTGGTTAAAGACAATACGTTGTTTTCGATCACTAGACCTTGCCCTCAGTTTGTCTGCAAGAACATTGTCTTGGGTTCTGTGCTTGAAGGTTAGTCCGGTTGTACTTTCTCTTTTCTTCATGCGTTTCAAGCTTTTTGTTTATTTATGTTGAATCCCAGTAACAGATGTTTCCAATTAGGATTAACTCAATTTATTCTGTTCTAGCATTTAAAAAGTTTTGACGCAAGTAGTTTGAATTCAACTTGCATATATAATACTAACTCAAGTAGTTTTATGTATTATAAATCCATTAAACTGCAACTCATTACAAGATGGACTACTAGATACATGTTGTGTCTTCCATATTTGTGGACTTTCATACTCATTCTCTGATTTCGTTGTAATTTTCTGCCCCTGATATGGTCTTCGGCACTGAAGGTAGTGCAAGCGGCTATTGGGTGAAGGTGGTACAATGATGGAGTTTTTCTGTCTCAAAGAGAAGGCTTCCAAGTATTCTTTTTTCAGAATATAGTTTCTGCTTCTTTACTTAATCGGCAAAGAGATTATGAACTGAGTTAAGTTTGTAGATAGTTCATGTTTGTCCCATTTTGTTTTTACCCATTTTATGACACTCTCATTTCTCTGAACATAGTAAGTTGTAATGCTTATTTTACTTCAAATTTTTTCTTTATCTGGTTTCCTTTTACTTATTATACATGAATTTTTGCTATAAATAATAATTCTATTACTCAAATTTGATATTTTGCATCCTCTCACACAGAACCAATTATCTTGTGATATCGTCAGGATTATGGTGTGAAGTTTGAGAAAGATGGTGCAGGATTTATCCAATTGGTGGGATTTAGGAACGAAGATCTGGTTATAAGTCATTTGGACCTACCATGTAATCCATTCATCTCATTTTGCACCATCCTGGACTTTTTGTGGTTTGTGCTTTAAAAAGATTCACAGTTTTTACGTTCACATGTGCCATCGGAATCAAGTAAACAGACTCAGTCAGTATCTCCAAGCCATCAGATTCTTCTTCTGGTTCTTTTTCCCTTCCTGTGGCATTTAGAAAAATATTTATGTGCTATCATCATCAATCAATGTGGAATGAAGCTTCAACAGATGTTATACTTTTCAAACATGGATGTT